AGGATTTTATCCTTGTTTCCAGAGGTAGATATCCCAGGGATTTTCTCGCCTCGTAGTACCGCCTCCAAGTCTTCTTCATGTTAACTCTACTGTCCCTTAATACTCCACGCGACTTGAGCTGAAGCTCAGAACTCTCTAGAACATCTCAGAATATCTGATCCTGCATCGCCATCACCTCAAATCACTCTCCCGAGTGATCCTAATGACTCCACAGGACCCGCCGGCTCTCTTACAGCTCGCAAGTCACGGATACCAAGATTCGAGAGTAAGAGGACACGTACCCTTGCTGATATTTCCCGATTCAATCGAAACTCGCTGAGTAGCGCTTCCTTTCAGCCCGAGTTGACACAGATCGTCACATCATTCTGCGGGAAACGACATCAAGGAAGAGTCGACCAACGCGAGCTCATAGCAACTAAATAGTATTCTCAGTCCGTTTAAATACCGTCTACCTACTCTCGATTGTCTCCAGTTCGAGTCGTGCAGCTGTGCAGGGACGACGCTTGACGTTCGAGCTTGAATATCATCTTCAATGGCAATCCTCTATCATCCCTTGGTGAAGATATTTCTCTTCTGCGGATCTTTGAACTCAAGCATGAAAAGGAGATACCGGCAAAGCGGGACCGACAAGTTCCTGGCGTATCATCGAATCCAGCGTATATATGGAGACGGTTTCTACAACAAGTTCAGTAGATCGGTACAAACCAAATCTATGTACTTACACGATCATTCTTTACTAGATTGGCGGAGGTCTGAACGCCGTCACGAATCATTCCTCACCCAGACTATCGCTCAGATCACCAGCAAAGAGCGTGCCAGTTGAAGAAAAAGCAAGCTTTTGTCCAGACTCTGATGGAGTAGTCGAAGTGGAGCACAAGGAAACGATCGTCGAAAGGTCCTCCTCGGCTCGATTTAGAAGCCATCTCCGAGCTGACAACAAATCATCCCCTCCGATAGATGACGATATACTGCGTCAAAAGATTGCTTCTGTATCTGAAGCTTGGATTTGGTCGTTTCGCAATGCAGGCCGAAGAGTTGTGGCCCCCCCAGGTTCTGCGACCATAACATTTAGAATCATCTCAACGGTCAGCCTCCCTGGGTGGCATCGTCTGGACTTAGCACTCGTAAAACAAAGAAGATGCAACTTCAACGCCTATCTCTGCACGTTTTTATCTTGGGACGTTCGTTTCAACGTTCAGTCAAAGCATGCAAGGCGTAATGACTATCTACTCACGAGGGGACGTCGCATGGACGCCCGATCCTCTTCGGTAAACTTAGCCCCCTGATTGCTATCCTTCTCGGGATCATATTTTTCATTAACTATCTTTCCTTAGAGAAGGCAAAATACATCCGAAGATAACAGAGAGTTTTCAAAGATCAAAGCTCGTCTCGATGCGATGATGCAACGACAAAGAGAATCCCGACAGGCTTACAGAGCCCGAAAAACGGAATTAAGCCAATCAAGGTACGTTCTCATCGAATTTCGAGCCTTTCTTTCTAGTAGCCTCACAACTCCCTGACCAATCAGATCCAACATTGTCGGGGATGGGAACACCCGTAGTGGACCGCATACAAGGGTCAATGGTCAATATGGTGTGGAGCAGTACCTTGGTAAATCTATGAACGAGGATACTAATAAAGACGAAGTCAACAATGACAGGTACAGCGAAGACGAAGATGAAAGATACGACAACGACGGCGACAGCAACTACGGCAACACCAGTTCTGACGAGGAAAATGGCGATGACGAAGACATTGATGAAGATATGATCGATCAAGCTGAAGGTGCTGTACCAGAGGTGGTTGACTCGGACACCGAGGTAAGATACTTCTTGAATTTTCTCAGCGCTATCTCATGTTTCTAGATGCAAGATTCCAGCCCAAACAGAGAACGTAGGAGGAAATCTCAAAACGGACCTAGGCAATCCTCTTCAGCTGCTCGAGGTAGAAAGAGGAGCAGATTCGACGATGACGATGACGATGACGATGACGATGACGATGACGACGATAAAGAGGAAGAAGAAGAAGACTTGGAGGCGGTACTACGAGGCGAGAAAATCCCTGGGATATCTACCTCTGGAAACAAGGATAAAATCCT